CTGACCTACAGCAGGACCAGCCCTCATCTCCTCCAACATGACTCTCATCATCGTCATGTTCGCCATCATTTTCGCCTCGAGGACATCCTCAGTGGTCATCCGGTTCGCTTCACAAACCTCTTCTGCTGCTATCCGGTTCGCCTCGCGAACAACGTCCATCATTGCCGCGTTGGCCAATCTCGTGGCCTCCAGATCGGCTAACCTAGCCGCCTGCATCTCAGCCAATGCAGTCAGGATAGGATCGGGTTGATCGTTAGAAGTCTCTTGTGTTCTCCCGGACCTTACCATGAGTCTGCACAAGTTACAAAAATTATGAGTTGATCAGGCCCATGCAATGTGATCATATGCATTATCATAATAGAGTTCGACGGAGTAAACACACAAGACAGACGCAACCAAACATCCTAGCTATTGCAACACATATAGGATTTTCCTTCGAACCATTGCTCTGATACCATAAATGTAACACCCTGTATAAATCCGGTAATGTTATCATATTATCGTATTAAGCTGCGCTTAATTAAAAATGCGGAATATCTTTTTCTTTCAATTATGATGTCATTAATCATTACCAACTTGATTACTTAACCATTTTCAAAACATCGCCTGTATGTACATTGCAATAAACAGCTAACTGAAATACCTCATTAATTAAATAACATAAGTATGTCTCTAGTCACGGAACTACCACACGTAGACCGGACAAATCCTGATAGTTTATACAACTCAACTCAAACGTACTAACAACCAAGTGGCATGGACAATCCCCATGCTCACCCAAATAAGGCAACAAAGCCCATCATAAGTCTCAACTCAACAGCAACATAATAATAAAGGCGTAAAACATAAACAACATCCAATCCAGTCATGCCAGCATATAACATGTAACGGCAATAATCATCAACTAAGCTCTGGCCTCCTACCGTCAGAGACATCAGTCCCCATACTACCTGAACCTGAAATAAGCATTCCCCGAACGTGGGGAGAGATCTCTAAACAAGAAATCTCAGTAGGGCAATGGGTCCTCAAGGATCTTCCACCCCAAGCTCACTTACATGTGCAATATAAGTTCAAAAGCAGTTTATCATCATCAGTTCTAAAATAGTGCAATGCAGCAGATAATCATGTCATGTGTGTCAATTCTATTCTACTGGCCAGAGAAATGCAGGATTTATATACGTCTAATACCCACAAATAGTGCAAGACGCTACTTGCATCCACTCCGGATCACCGTCTTGTATGAGGCTACATACTCAGACTTACTATCAAGATGGAACAACACATGCATATTAAAAGCCATTACACATAAAGCTCAACAACATTTCAAATATCCAAAGCATGTAACACAGCATGCATATAACCATACCTCTATGGGACATGGTGAAACCACAACATGGCTAAACCGAGGACATGAAAGCTTACCTCTTAAGCAATCAATCCAAGTCAAGTCCACACAAGCTCAATGTCCAAACACAGCAGATCACAATCTGATTTAGAACCAGCAAGCATATCAACATTCATAGCTCCATAACATAAACATAAAGACTATGTTTTCCTTTTACGTTTTACGTCTTAAGGCTTCTCACAAAGCCATAAGCCCTTAATCACTTGATTCCGACTTAGTTAAGTATTTACAGAATTTCAACTCCATCAAAATAGGGTCCACAAACCCATAACTCAGTTCTGTATGAACAGTACCTTACTGTTCCTCGAAATTCCAGAATATCCGGATATATGTCGGGGGCATATCCGGATATCAGTATCCGGATACCATATCCGGGTATGCATATCCGGATATCCTATCCGGATATCCATATTCGGATATCAATATTCGGATGCACATATCCGGATATTTCGCGACAGAGAGCAGCTTCTGCATTCGCGAAGATATCCATCCAAGGTACCATTTTTAACACTTTAAAAAGTCAAAGCATGCATTTTAAATCTGTTTTAGGTTCACATACCAGTTGGTTACTTGCTTAACCCATTTACATGCAAAGACACCACCTTTAAATCATTTAAACTCATGATCAAGGTTAGGCAACTCACCAAAGCTTCAAACTCAGAAATGGAAGGCTCTTGGAGCTCACCAAACAGCTCCAAATATACTGACTTGCAAGGAGCACGAAAATGCCACACCAAAGGTTGGTTCTTGCACCAAAAGATGACTCCTTAGCACCACAAATGTCAAGCCAAAGGACCACACCCTCTCTAAACTCAAAGTCAGCACCTATCCTCACCAAGGCAGTAGCAAGAACTCAGAAAAACAACCCATTTTTACTTCCCAAGGCTAGAATGCACTCACCCATAGAGTTATCATGAAGAACCCAAGAGGAAATGAGGTCTCTTGGTGTCTCAAATGGAAGGAGAAGGAGGTGGTAGGGTGGCTGGTGTCACACCTTCAGCAAACTCACATAGGAGAAATGTATGGCCTAGGGTTTTGGGTCATACTTAGTATATATAGTCACTTAAACTATAAACGCACAGTATTAAATTTAATTGCTACGCTTAGTATTTTAATTCCAAACTCAGAATTCTTAACCTACTCAATTTTATAAGAATTATCATATTTTTCTTATATTTTTCGGAGTACTTTACCGGTACGCGCTTTTCCGTAGCCAGTATCAATTTCTGGCACCAGTTCTCATTATTTTAACTTGAAACTCGTTTTACAAGTCCTATATATTATTCTAGTAATATATACTCACTTATTACAATTTTTCGGGATACTTTTTCGGTACGCATTTATACCGACTAGCAGAACCGGTATCTGTACTTTTCGTCAGAAAAGCGACTTTCAGCATTATTACTCACTTACTATAATTATTAGAGCCTCATAATAATTATTAGGGTCAATTATAGAATTATCTCATTAAACTCATAATTAACTGATTAATTTCCTTAATTAACGGTGCGGGTTCTTACACTTCGTGTCCCGATTTCGATTCTCATTGCCCCCCATTTTCTTTGATGTTTCGTCCACTTTTTAAGCTCAATGGGCTCTTGTCGAAGGAGTGTGTTAGAGTATAATATAAACAATTAAAAGAAGTCCTAACCCAAAAGCTTAAACTTTTGAGTTAAATTGGTTCTTTACACAGTATCAGTGCCTCTGTGTCACGAGTTCGATCATCACCGTCCCCCACTTTGTCTTGTGAAATTTCTTAGCACAAGTAGGCAGGTAGGTGCATTATCCACATTTTAAACCCAGTGGACTATCATGTGAGGGACGTGTTAGAGAAACATAAAGCCATTAATATAGCCTCACTCAATAGCTTAAAGCTTTTATGTTAAATTAGTTCTTTACAAGTTTATTAAAAGACTTATTTAGAAATTAGGCCACAAGCCTATTTTAAAGGGCCTAGCCTCCATGCCTTCAGGCCACATTTATATTTTTTAATAATAATATTTTATTATATTTTATTAAAATTATATTTTATTATTTTTAATAAAATAATATTTTATTGATTTTTACTGAAATAATGTATATTGATTTTTTAACTTTTCTAACTCTCCTCATAAACTTCTACGCTCCTTCTAACCTAATTCTTTTATGCAATGCATGAGTGAGTGAATATGTTATTTTTTTAAAAAAAAGAATTCAATTAAACCTTTTGCATCCTTTCCATTATTTTGTTTTTGATTTCCAACAATATAATTAAATTGTCAATATTTTGGGTTGTGGTATAACTTTAATTAGTTATTGTATTGCTTCAATTTTCCATTAACTTAGATATACAAAAGATACAAAACAATCATATCTATAATTTACATAGTGCAATATGCCATTTTTGAAGACTTATAAGTAGGCCAAGTCAAGCATTGTATTTTTTAAAAATCAACCAAGTTAAATTTATAATCTAGCTAAAGCAAGTCAGATTTGAAATATATATTTTATACAGGCCTAATTCATTTAGACTAAAATCTGAATTGACTTTACTCATTTAAAACCCTAATAGTAGGCCGGGTGAAGCATTGTTTTGGATAAACTTATTTTATCAAAGTTATTATTTTATTTTATTTGGATAGCTTTTATCAACGTCCTATGTAAGTTAATCAATAACTGAAATTTCATTTTATTAAATTACTTTATATTTCAAGAGATAATTTATTAATTATTTACTAGCTTAATATACACAACTTATGCAGAATATTTTAAACTTGTGATGATTGATCATATATGTATAAGGGTTTATTTTATTTTTTTGTAATATTTTCTATGATGTCAGTGAGAGTTGACACACCTAATTCCCTCATAATATAATAACTTGTTGCATGAGTTCAATTTTGAGGTTTCCGTCAAGATTCAAAAGAAAAATATATATATTTAGCATTAATGATATATTAATGAAAGTCGTTGAAGATTTATCTTAATTAGAACATCGCATATTTAAAATATATGAAATAATTAATTCAAAATAAAAGGATTAGCTTAATTAAAATCCTGTTACCAACCCATTGATGTTGAGAATATTTATAATTTTTTTTCCCTTTAATTTGCTAGTTAAAAGAATATTTTTGAATGATATTCAGCTATTATATAGTTTTTCTTTAATTTCCAGTGATAGTAAGAAAATTTCGATCATGACAATGGGACAGGAAACAAATTAATTGTGTAAATCATATATATATTTTTTTTTCTTCTCACTAATTAGCAATAAAACATATATATATATATATATAACTTCACTAAGAATGACTCAACTGACATTATTATGATCCAGGGAATTACAAACTCTTGTTTGTTTGTTATCAAGAGCAAAAAAAAATCCCCGGCCATATGATAATTTTGGTGAAAGTACCCTAAAACAACGCAGCTAATTAATTTCTGCTACATCACATATATAGTGTAGTATATATATGTGATATGTCAACCATTTGCATAAAACAATACACTTTAGGTTGATCATAATTAGCTAGATAAAAACCCTTCCAAAAATAGTTAGGAAAATGTAGGGATGGATTAATATAATTGGGATGGATGGATGGATGGATGTCAAAAACTAAAATGGATGAATTTTCCTGTTGAATGCATTCATGTTGGCTAAGAATCCAACCCTGTAAGGCAAGAATGATCTCCTTTTAATGCTCTCATTCCTCATTCTATTCTTCAAGTAATGCTTCTCGTGAGACGACGACGACGACACCGTTTTGCCGCCAATCTTCCCACGACCCTTCTTTTTATCATTATTATTAGCCTCGTCGACATCGAACCTCAATGGCTCCGGTGCCGGAGGATTCAAGAAAACGAAAACGTTCTTGCTGTCAGTGCTGTTGCTTCGCGGGTTCAACTCTCGCCGGAATCTCAACTGCTTTGAGAATCCCGTGGAGTTGCTCTTCTTACACCTCTCGTTGTTGGAAGCCGCAACCAGCTCTACCACCTCCAACGTCGTCGACAACGACGTTTTTCCATCCTTTAATTTCGAGGGAAAACTATTTCGCTTCTCAATGAAGAGCTTCTTCAGCGACGGTGGAAGAGGTGAAACGGCGTCGCTGTTATGAAGGAAAGCAGGGAAGAAGGGTCGGATCTGGCCATTGTGAAAGATCTCATCAGCAAAGATAAGAGTTCCTTGGGGATTAGTGCATGCGAAACTGAATTCTCCTTGTTCGTCATCATAATGGTGGAACGTGTGAGGAATTGGGAGAATGGATAGAGATTGCATTGTTAGTTAATATATTTGAGGTTACAAGCTTGTAATTAGAGAGTGTGTAATGAATATGCAGTGAAAATGAGAAATTGGGTTATTTATATGTGAATTAGAGAGTGTGTATGTAATGTGAGCTTTATTTCCGTTTATGAAATGGAATTCTGTTGAATTGGGTGGGGGGTTTTAAGTAAGTAGTTAGACATGTAAGGTGTGAGCACTGTGATGACGTTCTTTACTGTTAGCCGGTTACCCCTTCTTTTGCATCCTTTCTTTCCCTCTTTGTTTTTTCGTGAAATAATAACAAATTGCTTTTTAACTATTTTCGTTCTATTGTTAAGCTAAGCTAGTTAGCTACGTGCTCTACGCGTACAACCACAACCTCCTATATAACCATTAAGTTCAAGAATCATAAGACTATACAAAATTGTATGTCTATTTCTAGAATCATAAGGATTATGATGAAATTGTCAGATAAGGATCATGCACCAACATTCCTATTGACATTCATTTAGCTATGATCAATTTATAAGATTCAAGCTCACAGAAAACATTAAGGAAAGACAATTTCATTCATAATAAAAAAGAAAATTAACGTAAAGAATTATTCAAAACATAATAAATAAATTGAGTTCCGTCTAACCCTAACTACTATAAAGACTTTGCAAAATTGATGGATATTATAAGTTTAACTTCATTTTTTTGTTAAATTGTTGAATATTAAATATAATATACACTACATAAATTTAAAATATTATTTAATATTAAAATGTGTCCTAACGTGTCGAAATCTAATATTTTTTAGAATTAACGTGTCGAAGTGTCATATCGTATCGTGCCTCATATCCCGTGTCAATATCGGTGCAACGTAGGAATGCAGAAAATTAAGGAAATCAATTAATTAGATTTATTGGCTCAAAATAAGAAAACCAATTAATTAGATTGATTGGTTAAAATTAGGGAAACCAATCAATTGCGTTGATTGGATAAAAAAAATTACCCAATATGATTAGTACAGCTATCGTTACATGAAATTATATTGGTCATAAAGTTTACATTCTACGAATGAATATGATTCCATCAGATCTTGATATTCCTTTGAGATTCGAAAGAAGACAATTTCCAATTAGTCTACGCTTTGCCATGACATTAATGAAAGTCAGGGCCAATCTCTTTCTTATGTTAGGCTATTATTACCGAAGTCTATTTTTACTCATGGACAACTATATATTGCTGTTTCTAGAGTAAAATCTAGGAATGGTTCGAAGATTTTAATTTTAGATGAAAATGAAAATTCATGTAAAAAAACTAACAGTGTTGTTTACCAAGAAGTGTATAAAAAAAGGGTTCGTTTTTTTTACAGTCAATGTAGATAACTTATCTACATTGAGCTCAAAACGGCGACGTTTTGAGGCAGAAATCAAGGTATTTTTGTAATTATAATTTATTTCAGGGTTATAGTAGTCTTTTTCATAATAATTTTTTAATTTTTCAACTTAAAACGACGTCGTTTTGAGAGCGAATGTAGATAACTTATCTACATTCACTTTAGAAATATTAAAGCCATAAAAAAATATGAACTTTAATACATAAGTCTTGAGTCTTTTATTTAAATTTAGTAACATTTATTACAATCTAATTTCCTTCAAAATTTATTTCAAGATTTATTTTTATATATTTTACAATCTTTAGCGTATAATATTCATATCCACATGTAATAAAAATCATTCTATCATAATCCCTTTGCATCGCATGGGTTAAAATACTACTGTGTGTCTATATATATATATATATATATATATATATATATATATATATATATATATATGTATGAAAAAATATTTATCCTTTTAAAGGACATTTATTTTTGTTAAAATTATTATTATTTAATATTTAAATTAAAAAATCTCACTTTTTTCTACTGTGATTTCTATTTCTCTCACCTTAAAATATAATATTTATTCTTTCAAAGGATAATCATTTTTTGTTAAAATTATTATATTTAATATTTAAATTAAAAACTCTCACTTTTTTCTAATGTGATTTCTATTTCTCTCACCTTAAGGGCCTGTTTAGAGCACCTGATAAAGAAGATAGAATATGATAACTTACCATATCCTATTTTTATCTCTTGTTTGGTGGGTCAATAGGATATGTTTAGCTTATCTTATTGTCTCATTTTATCCTATCTAATACATTATTTCTTATCCTATGAGGATAGCTGGGTTATGATTCAATATGATAGGATACCAATATTGGATACCCAATATATCTCCACGTTACCCAATATATCCTCACGCTACTCAATATATTTGTATTTATTGCATTATATTTTGTTTTTTGTTTTTCCTTTCTCCTTCTACATAATCTTATCAGATTGCTAATCAGGTGCTCATCAAACACAGGACATGATATAGGTTTATCAACTCCATATCATATCCTACCCTTTTCCTATCATGTCCACCAAATGAGCTCTAAAATACAATAGTTTTGACTAAAATTACACAATTCTATGTCTTTTAAAAGGATAAACATTAATCACACACAGAGACATATATATATATATATATATATATATATATATAGGGCCAGGATATTCTTACACTGGTGTAAGAGTTAGAAGTCTTACACTCAATATTGACCATTGATCCACTTGTATCCAATGGCTCACATTACTTAAAAATTTGAGCCCTTAGATATAAATAGGATCAGTGGACAAGATTAAGAGTGTAACTTACACTGGTGTAAGATGATCCTAACCCATATATATATATATATATATATGTAAACATGTTATTCTTAAACCGGAGTAAAAATAACAAGTCTTATACCAAATCTTAACTATTAATTTTCGTGCATCTAAAATTAAGATTTATTAGATATGAAAATCAACGGCTAAGATGTGAATAATACACGGTAATATGAATATCACACTTCTATTTATATTTGAGTAAAATTTCAACTGACATCTACAAGCAAAACGGAGGAGGTTGTGCTTGTGCGCGTGCAGTAGAACACGTGTGGCTTACTTAGCTTAACAATAGAACGAAAATAGTTAAAAAGCAATTTGTTATTATTTAACGCAAAAAAAAAAAAAAACAGGAAAAACAAAAAGGGAAAGAAAGGATGCAAAAAAAGGGGTAACCGACTAACAGTAAAGAACGTCATCACAGTGCTCACACCTTACATGTCTAACTACTTACTTAAAACCCCCCACCCAATTTAACCGAATTCCATTTCATAAACAGAAATAAAGCTCACATTACATACACACTCTCTAATTTACATATAAATAACCCAATTTCTCATTTTCACTGCATATTCATTACACACTCTCTTATTACAAGCTTGTGATTAATTAACTCTCAAATATATTAACAAACAATGCAATCTCTATCCATTCTCCCAATTCCTCACACGTTCCACGATTATGATGACGAACAAGGAGAATTCAGTTTCGCATGCACTAATCCCCAAGGAATTCTTATCTTTGCTGATGAGATCTTCCACAATGGCCAGATCCGACCCTTCTTCCCTGCTTTCCTTCATAATAGCGATGCCGTTTCACCTCTTCCACAGACGCTGATCAAGAAGCTCTTCGTTGAGAAGTGAAATAGTTTTCCCTCGGAATTAAAGGATGGAAAAACGTCCTCGACGACGTTGGAGGTGGTAGAGGTTGAGGCTTCCAACAACGAGAGGTGTAAGAAGAGCAACTCCACGGGATTCTCGAAGCAGTTGAGATTCCGGCGAGAGTTGAACCCGCGAAGCAACAGCACTGACAGCAAGAACGTTTTCGTTTTCTTGAATCCTCCGGCACCGGAGCCATTGAGGTCCGATGTCGACGAGGCTAATAATAATGATAAAAAGAAGGGTCGTGGGAAGATTGGCGGCAAAACGGTGTCGTCGTCGTCTCACGAGAAGCATTACTTGAAGAATAGAATGAGGAATGAGAGCATTAAAAGGAGATCATTCTTGCCTTACAGGGTTGGATTCTTAGCCAACATGAATGCATTCAGCAGGAAAATTCATCCATTTTAGTTTTTGACATCCATCCATCCATCCATCCCAATTATATTAATCCATCCCTACATTTTCCTAACTATTTTTGGAAGGGTTTTTATCTAGCTAATTATGATCAACCTAAAGTGTATTGTTTTATGCAAATGGTTGACATATCACATATATATACTACACTATATATGTGATGTAGCAGAAATTAATTAGCTGCGTTGTTTTAGGGTACTTTCACCAAAATTATCATATGGCCGGGGATTTTTTTTTGCTCTTGATAACAAACAAACAAGAGTTTGTAATTCCCTGGATCATAATAATGTCAGTTGAGTCATTCTTAGTGAAGTTATATCTATATATGTTCTATTGCTAATTAGTGAGAAGAAAAACAAATATATATATATATATATATATATATATATATATATATATATATATATATATATATATATATATATATATATATATATGATTTACATAATTAATTTGTTTCCTGTCCCATATATTGTCATGAAATTTTCTTACTATCTCTCTGGAAATTAAATATATCATTAATGCTAAACATATATATTTTTCTTTTGAATCAATCTTGACGGAAACCTCCAAATTGAACTCATGCAATAACAAGTTATTATTATGAGGGAATTAGGTGTGTCAATTCTCATTGACATCATAGAAAACATTACAAAAAATAAAATAAAATAAACCCTTATAAATATATATTCAATCATCACAAGTTGTGTATATTAAAATAGCAAGCGGAATATTCTGCATAAGTTGTGTATATTAAGCTAGTAAATAATTAATAAAGTATCTCTTCAAATATAAAGTAATTTTATAAAATAAAATTTCAGTTATATATTGATTAACTTACATAGAACATTGATAAAAGCTATCTAAAATAAATAAATAAATAATTTTGATAAAATAAGTTTATCCAAAACAATGCTTGACCTGGCCTACTATTAGGGGTTTTAATGAGTAAAGTCAATTCAGATTTTATTCTAAATGAATTAGGCCCGTATAAAATATATATTTCAAATCTGACTTGCTTTGTAGTCCGATACAAGTTAAATTATAAGTTTAATTACTTGGTTGATTTTAAAAAAATACAATGCTTGACCTGGCCTACTAAGTCTTTAAAAATGGCATATTGCACTCTGTAAATTATAAATTATGATTATTTTGTTTCTTTTGTATATCTAAGTTAATGGAAAATTGAAGCAATACAATAACTAATTAAAGTTAGACCACAGCCCAAATTATTGGCAATTTAACTATATTGTTGGAAATCAAAAACAAAGATATACAAAAAAAAAAAAAAATCAAAAACAAAATAATGGAAAGGATGCAAAACATTTAATTGAATTCTTTTTTTTTTCAAAAAAAAAAATATATTCACTCACTCATGCATTGCATAAGAGAATTAGGTTAGAGGGAGTGTAGAAGTCTATGAGACGAGTTAGAAAAATTTAAAAATCAATATGCATTATTTCAGTACAAATCAATAAAACAATTTTATTAAAATATAATACAAATTATTTATTAAAATATAATAAAATATTATCATTAAAAAATATAGGTGGGGCATGAAGGCATGGAGGTTAGGCCTTTTAAAATAGGCTTGTGGCCTAATTTCTAAATAAGTATTTTAATAAATTTGTAAAGAACCAATTTAACCTAAAAGCTTAAGCTATTTGGTGAGTCTATATTAATGATTTTATATATCTCTAAAATGCCCCCTCACACGAGAGCCTATCGAGGTTGAAAGGTGAATAATGCACAGGCCCACCTATCTGTGCTAAAAATTTCCATTAGAGAAAGTGTGCGGTAGTGAGGATCGAACCCTTGACACAAAGGCACTGATACCATGTAAAGAACCAATTCAACTCAAAAGTTTAAGCTTTTAGATGAGGACTTCTTTTAATTGTTTATATTATACTCTAATGCATCCCTTCGCACAAGAGCCCATTGGGCTTAAAGGGTGGATGATGCATCAAGACCAGCCCACCTGTGCTAAGAAATTCCACAAAGAAAATGGGAGGCAGCGAGGATCGAACTCGGGACACTCAGACTCTAATACCATGTAAAAAACTAATTCAACCCAAAAGCTTAAGCTATTGGGTGAGGTTATATTAATGATTTTATATATCTCTAACAAGCCCCCTCACACGAGAGCCTATCGAGGTTGAAAGGTGGATAGTGAACAGACTCACCTACCTGTGCTAAGAATTTCCACAAGAGAAAGTGGGAAGCAGTGAGGATCAAACCCATTACACCGAGGCTCTGATACCATGTATATATCTCCCAAAACACAGGGTGTCCTATAGTTCACTTACAGTGTATAGATAATATCATAAAATAATAAACATACATCATATCATAGCATCTTTAGTGTAACTTCTGATATGCCTCCAGCATATATATGATTTTAAGCCAAAAAGAGAATAAATCTTGATCAAACTTGAATAAAAGGGGCTATAATTGTTATTAAGTTGATAAATCTCAATCAGATATCTATTCACTGATTTTCTTATAATTTGGTAGGAAAATGGACAAGAAAGAAGCCCAATTGAGAGCACAAGTCTGAAGCCCCGCGCTAATAGCGCGGATCTGGTGCTGTCAGCGCTAGCAATACGTTTTGACATAGATCCACCATGCTACTAGCGTGGCACAGGCGCTATCAGCGCCAGCCAATTTTGTCAACCGTGCTATCAGCGCGGGATCCACGCTAGTAGCGCGAAGCTACTGTATTCAAACCACACTCCCACGCTATCAGCGCCAACCTGGCGCTAGTAGCATGGGAGACACGTGATGATTTTTAAACTTATCTTAGACTGTATCAAAGGAGATTGAACCAGAAATACGATGAAGATTTGATCAAGATTTTTAAGCAAGAGCACAAACTCTATAAATAGAGACTCAGACCCCAAGAGGAAACCATCTTTGGCTGGAGAGAATCGTGAGCACAGAGAATTGAGAGAATTCTTGGAGACTCGCGCTGGAGATCAGGATTCCGCCGGAGTTGGAGACCGAAGAACATTGATCATCTATCTTCTTCTTCTCCTTTATTGCTTTTATGAACAATCTTTATTCTTTGAATTTGTTTAAGTCAGACATGAATATGTCTGGCTAATTTCTTTTTGTAGTTGGGATCACAGACCCAATGTGAATCCTTTATATATTTTAAATTGTTTTTATAATTTAATTAGTTTAGTTAGTTTTATTCTACTTGTGTTAATTCTTCCATATCCTTGATAGAATTGATCGCTCTATTATAGGGTTTTGAGGGTTAAGACTCACAATAGACATATTGGGGTTTTAATCTGGACAAGGGTAGAATAACAATTTGTGCATGACCTAGACATATGCTTACATAGATTGCAGACTTTTTCATTTGCTTAATGCTTAATTCAAGAGGAATTACTAGGACACTAGGATTCTAATTGAGTTAAGTAGTTGAAATCACTAAGACATTAGGGTTCAACTAGTTAATAGGAAAATAATGAATTGTCTGAGCTAACAAATTAATTAGTTATAAAATACAATTTAGGAATATAAGGGAGGATCGGAAGTGAAGTGCGTCCTGGCTACAGTTCTTTTACAGTTTTTCATAACTCATATTTTCTTGACATTCTTGATTAAATCTTGCATGCTTTTGAATATTATTGTTTTTAATTTCTGTCTTTAAATTACAATCACAAAATATTTTCACAATCAAACTAAATTCTTTTCTTCCAATTCAAGTGGAATAGTTAATTTAATATTTGATGCATTAATCCTCGAGGGAATGATAACTTACTTATCACTTTATTACTTGAAACGAACGGTATACTTGCCGATTTCGCAACAAGTTTTACATTTCGATCTTTGAGATTGGAATTTTTATTTTTGTTTTGTTACTAATTGATTTCTCTCTTTTATGCAAGGTAAAGTTGTCCGAGAAACTTTACAGTTTGATCCAGAAATTGAGAAGACTGCAAAGAAGAATCAGAAATTAACCAAGCTAAGGAAGCAAGAGGAATCCTCGAGTTCAGAGCCAAAAGCAGAACCCGAGATGGCAGCTCATAATCCACCACCGCCGGAGGATGAATTGATGGAGTCAATCCTGGCTCCTATTTTCACGCTGCCGAATTCAAGCATCGTCAGACCACAAATCGAAGCCAACAACTTTGACATCCATCCGTCACTGATAGGATTGGTGGAGAAAACTCAGTTTGGCGGGAAAGATTATGAAGACCCTCATGATTTCGTGGACAAATTTCTAAGAATCTGTGACACTACCAGCATCATAGGATATCAGACGATGCAATTAGACAGAGGTTGTTCACTTTTGCTGTAACAGGGAAAACTCTCAGATGGTTGGATAGACAAGCTCCCAACAGCATCAGAACGTGGGACGATCTGGCAGTCAAGTTCTTCGTAGAGCACTTTTCCAGGGAGAAATACAATAAGTTGGTTAATGAAATTACAAACTTCACTCAAAAGCCAGGAGAGACTCTATGCGCAGCTTGGACCAGATTCCAAGAATTGATCAGAAAGTTCTCCCAGTACGATTTGCCAGACGAAAAGAAAGTCAGAGTCTTCTACAATGGAATGACACCAGACTCCAGAATGGTCGTTAATGGTGCAGCTGGTGGAACCATAGGAAAGAAGACAACAGCTCAAACCTTAGAGCTGATTGACTACATGGCAAGGAACGAGAACACATCAATGGCGGTTCAACCAGTTCAACCAAAGAGGGGACTTCTGCAATTGGGGAACGATGATGCAGCGTTGGTTGAACAGAAGATTATATCTCAACAGCTCTCCAGTATGATTGCTAAGTTAGACAAGATGAAAATTTCTATAGCTCAAGTTAATTCAATTAACTGTGAGTATTGTAAAGGAGAGCATGAGACTAACGAGTGCCCCACATTGGTAGGATCAGATGCACTCCAAGTTAATAGAGTCTGGTATGATCCAAGACCACAGCAGAACTTCTAGAGAAACCAGAACAATGCTCCAGGGAACAACTTCCAAAGGAG